ACAAATTATAGGGAAAAAACGGCTTCCATCGAATTCGTTCATTTTGCAGTATAATATTCCGCAGACCATTCTGATCCAGGTCCTAATGGGCAAAAACTTCAGAAATCGACCGAGAATTTATGATGTGCTCCATAAAAATGAGGCAGATGCGCGACAACGCCTTCGAGAAAGATGTGTTTTAAATTACGCACTCCCTATTGATGTTCTGTTTGATCGATGCAATCAGTTTTTAATTGTGAACTTATAAATATTTCAACAAGGTTTGTCTTAATGCAAAAAATACTTTTTTCCACAAAAAAGTCATTAACAAGTCAAGATCGATTTACCTCAACCTCATTTTTACGGAGCACCGCATATTTTCTTTAAAACAAGAAAGTTTAAGGAAATTAATTCGTTTAACGTAAAGAGATATAAAAAGTTATAATAGAATAATATTAAAAGTTTCCTTACGAAATTCACTTTTTAAAAAAATATTCATGAATACTAACTTCTGATCGCTTTTTAACAAGCTCCATATCGATTAAAAGTATATTAACAATAAACCACCGTAAAATGCCACGATATAATAAACTTTTTCTTCTCAATTATCCTTGAGTTCCCTTTCGAAAAGTTTCTCGAATCCCCGATTACCGACACAATTTGTTCTCCCGACAGGTTACTTCCATTTTTCATTTTTATATTTCAAACGTGTCACACGCAAATCGCTTAAATACAAGTAATCCCTTTTTTCCTTCGTTAACTCCACTGTCGACTAACATTACAATCGATCTTAACGCTCGAAAAAAAAAATCCATAGGATCACCTTCGATAGAAAAGAAACTGCACCGTTCGACGATACATGAAAGTTGTATTGTACACGTTCACACCTTGCATCAAACGTGTGGCATTAACTATTGACAGGAAACACGAAAGGGAACAGTTAAGAATTCTATTCACACAGGAAACATGTGCAATATTGAAAACATCTTGCTGGTACGAACAGCAAAAATGTATCGCAAGGAAAGTTCTCTGTGAAATATAAATTAGCTGAGCTACTTTTTAAAGCAAAAAAATGAAGTATCGAAAACTAAGTTCATAAAGGTGTTACAAAAATAACAATTATACTACGTTATAACACAACAATTTAAAATAATAAATTTCGTCTTATAAGATTTTTCTGTTTACCCAATTAGGAAGCTGGTCTTTCTTAAGTAACATGGCCGTCTCCTGTTTCCCTCTTGTTTATGAGCACAATCAGGCTTCGCCCATTCATTAGGACCGGATCGAAAAATAAATTACAGTACCTATACAATGTAACTATAGTATGAAAAGAAAAGTAATAAAAGTTTAAGGACATCTACAGAGACCCAAAGTTTAGAGATACTTAGACTTGTAATTTTGTAAATCGACTCGAAGTGCACAAAACAAGTACGACCCTAAATAAGAATCCATATATTTCTATTCGAGTAGATATCCTCGATTGTGAAATATAAATTCAGTAACATAAACTTTACTTGTAATTCGACAAAGAAATCGAAATACTCTAAATCAAAATAAGACTACAAACGTATCGACATGTCTTTGTTTTTTCGATCAAAAATGAAGACATACGATCGCGCCGCAATCGTGCGAAAAAAGGTAGCTGGAATCAGGTCTAGCCACAATGTAACCTGTAAGACAAAAGACAGTTAAGCTGACCCTTAGAGCATGATTCACAACAGTAAAAGCATCGAGTATCGTCGGTGACGGTCGTTGAAAGAAGGCAACCACCTCTAAACGGTGTTTTTCTCGTCGGCAGGCCAGAAATCTCAACGATTTGCACGTGCGAGAGCTCGGTTCGCCTCTCGTTTCTTCGTAGCTGGTGCACCCTTAATGGAACTCGCTCGGCTCGAGGCTCCGTTAATTAATTGTAATGCCAGGCCGATTCAGAAGCGCATAGCTCGACGGTCGAGAGTCGCCGCTGCAAGGGTGGTTCACCCTCGCGACCGCCGCTGCAGTGGGGAGATAGAGGATCCGCGGAGAATTACGCCCCCGCGGTAATTAGTACTAATAAACGAGGGGCATACGCGTGAGCTCGTTCCGATGTTTACGCGATGCGGAGGGGGCAAATTATTTTTTCAAAGTGTCACTCCCCTCGTACTACCACACACCATACACCGTTTTCCTTCCCTGTTTCTCGCTCTTTTGCATCGTATTCTGTCTCGTTTTATCGCTTGGCACGGTGTGAAAAAGTAATCTGTGAAATTAACCTCTTTTTTACTTGAAGCTTATATATTATTTAGCAGTCACAATGGCATCGTGATATACTGGATATTTTTTATTTATCGCCAGTGTAGGAGTAATCATATACAAAATTTAGAATTGATAATATATTCTTTACTTGGGATGACCGATAGTAACAAGTGTTATTTATATACAGTAACGATGGTACTGATTTATAACTGCGATAAGCTTATAAACAATTATCTACTGTTTGTATGAAAGCTAATTAAATTTAATAATTTTAAATACTTCGGAAATGAAAGTTTCATATCATTTCTTATGTATACGTTTATCGACATAAATTGAATATTAAATTATACAATGAACCAGACAAAAAACGTGTCTTTTTAATTATAATTTAAGATTGGTCCCACTCGAGGAAATTACAAAATAATTGTATTCCCAATCGTAGTGATGTCCGGATATATGATCACCAATCTGAACATGTGTATGTCATACATCATTACTATACAAGGATAGTATTCTGAGGACTGACCGATATTACCAGCCTATAATTATTTCAATATAATTATAGCTCAGTTTATACAGTATATCATTGTTATCAAAACTCTCAATTTTTTCAACCAATTCAGCTTAAAATTAATAGAAAGATTAACACAATGTTCATGTTTACTATTTTATACGAATCTCAATTCGATTAAAGTTATCTTGTAATAAAAATCTAAAAATATATTTTCCTTGTTTTAATAATTCGATAGTCTCGGGTCAACAATTCCAGGAATCAGTGGGGATAATTCGCGGTCACATATCTGGACATTACTGTATATCATACTGTGCGTGAACTCGACATCGACAGCTTAGTCGAGTTCGACAAGGTGTTTGGATGTTGTTTGGCTTCCGATATACTGCACGAGAGACTACACAGTGTAACAATAACACACGCAGAAATAAAGTTAAAGGATCAATTTTCACCAGAAAATTGTCAAATTGTATATTCTTATATCGGTGAACTTGATCGTAAAACTCTTATGAAGATGAAACGCTTTATACAACCCCTCAAATCACATGTACAACGAACTACAAGTGATGGTATCAAATATTTGATTGTACTCGTAGATATTTCAAAGTTGTTCAAATGATCTAGGATCCACATATAGTGACACGGTTCTATCCACAATAAACGCGAAAATTGCACTTGTGAGTAATGTCATAATCCACAATGACATAATTCACTAATGTACTATCCAAAGAATCAGATTAAATCAAAATGCATATACTAAGCTCCACATATTCGTCAAGAACTGTTCGCACCAGACATTCGCATCAGTCGGTCCGAAAAGTGGAAAGTTGCTTCTGTAAATTCCTGGAGTTCATCTCGTGGCACGTGCACAGTAACGCAGAATGATCTAATTACGTTTCTACGATCTTTTCTTTGTGTTCGTCCATGACAAGCGGTGCATACTGTTTTTCGCAAAGCCGCGATTGCTTTCGCGCAACGACAACCGGCTATTCGTGAACTCGTACAATTGTACAGGGACACTAAAAAGCTCGTTCGTTTCGGACGAGGAGCAATTTCACTCGATATCGTAAAAAACTATGAAACCACGGTACGTTCGACTCGCGAGTAACTGTCCGGACGATCCGTGGACATTTTTATAACCGTGAACACCTGTTTTTTTTTTTGAGGAAATGCGTTGTATTCCTCTTACGGTTTAAACTATCGAATATTGTCTAGGTTTATTTACCCTCTGTTCATGGCGCGGCCATAACAATTCGCGTAACGTCCATAAACTATTTCGTCGGAATTGAAGTGCTGAACCGAGCATGTGGCTGGACAACTTCCACGGTTATCCGTCCGATATTTACTTTGTCAACAGCCACTGACCAATGTTGATTATCCCTTGAAACGTCTGACCGTTTTACGATGCGATACCACCGATGGCACACGACGAAATTGCTATTTACAGGATAATAATGGTACCCGGTCGCTTACAAACCCCTAACGCCGATAGTAATATTCAATATTACGCTAATAGCATATTAATAACAGAAAGCTTGCCGACTTTAACGAGCCACTGTTCCGGCGACGTTAAAACATTTGATGGTCGCTTTGCGCAGTAAATTTTCCGGTCTTAGTCTTTTAACGAGCCTCGCGTTCAACGCCGTTAGAGAGTAAATTTTCCGGTGTTTCGTGTTCCTTCTTCCCTCCTTTTTTTACCTTCTCTTCTTCCTCCACTTCCTCTTCCCTTTTACGAGATTTTTTTCTTAAGCGGAACCTGCTTTTCATTTTTACCTCGGCGAAACAAAAGGAGAAAGGTAGTTCAACCCCTTTCACGTATCTTTATTTATGCTATAACTCGCAAAAGGAAGATTCCAAAGATTAACTTGGAGTTTTGTTGCCTTTAACAGAAACGATATCTCGATAAATGGCTAAGGAATTGAATCTTTTACTAGGACGCGATTTTACTGAAAGTCCTCGAGGTATTTTGTTGTATGCTAGTTTGTATTATTAATTCAGGAATTTTCTAAGTAAGTTAGTAAATTTTCTGTAAAGCTTGAAATTCACAAATTTTCAGATCTCACATTCGTATGTTACCAAATTCCTAGATGCACAATTTTTTTAATATACGAATCCTCAAATCCCCAAATTCTCAATTTTCCAAACTTCCATCTTTCTGAATACCTCCATTTCCACCTAAATAGTTTCCACATACAAAATCTTCTCCGACACCCGTAACAGCCACATACATTATGTGAACAAACATGATAATAATCGATGCAAATGCGTTCATTTCCAGAACGTCCAAACGCAGGCACCGTCGACGAAAGATACCATTGGTCAGACGGGAGTTCGACGACTCGTCGGACGAGGTAGTGTCGTTACACGATCGACAACTGCGGTCGATCGAATTTTACGACATGGAACATAAACCCAAGTATCTAGCGAACAAACGCGGCACCACGAGACACGGTTTTTCAAGCAGGACACGAAGAGCCGCGACAGCCCGCAAGGAACGCGTGTGGGACGACGGGGTGATCCCTTACGAGATCGATGGAAATTTTTCCGGGGCTCACAAAGCCCTCTTCAAGCAAGCCATGAGACACTGGGAGAACTTTACTTGCGTTAAATTTGTCGAGCGAGTACCCACGGAGCATCCTAATTATATACTATTCACGGAGAGACCGTGCGGGTGAGTTTGCCAACGCGTCGATGAAAAACACCCAATAAAACTTGGCCGAAAAAGAAGGATGCTCGGAAAGTTTGTACAGGAATTTACTGATAACGTTAATCTAATCAAATACGATGTTACAGGGTATTTTTTTAGTTCTTTAATGTGCATACATTATCTTTCATTAGAACCTCCATTCAATCGTTGTATTTTGTTGCGTGAATATGAAGATAAATAGTTTGATAAAGTTCTTGTATCTGAATAAACATAAATGAGCTCCGTATTTAATTATCGACAAAGTTATAAAAAATTATAGAAGAATTCTGGTCTTTTTTATAGTAACGTTCAAATAATATTTAACGACCCTGAGTTTCACGTATCAAAGTATACGCGGTAATTCATTTTATCTTTTTGTCGAAATAATGTAGATGCTGCTCGTTCGTTGGCAAACGAGGCAACGGCGCTCAGGCTATAAGCATAGGAAAAAATTGCGACAAATTTGGAATAGTGGTGCACGAACTGGGACACGTGGTCGGTTTCTGGCACGAGCACACCAGACCTGATCGTGATCGTCACGTCCAGATTATTCGTGACAATATCATGTCCGGTAAGTGTAATCCTCTTCTATAATCCTTACAATAGAACTTTTGGTAATGGTAGTTGACAAACTCTCCCAATTTTAGTTTGAACACAGAAATGATTAGAATATGTTTGAAAAACAAAAACTTCAGAATATATGCAATTCGTCTTAGGTGCAAATAACTGTCTAGCAGTTTGAGTAATTCTCTAGCAATGTCTAAGCGAAGTTTGATGTGAAGTTTTCGTAACCGCGTCTCGATGAAATCGACTAGGAACCGAATATTAACGATCGACGCTGGCAACTTGAACACAGGTACTTCTGTCGTGTCAAATGTTTCCGACGGTCCACGTCTCACCAACTCCTACAACACCGTACACTCACGGTGTTTGGTGAACGTGAGAAGGATGATAGTCGAAAGACGCGAACTGTACGTGCCCGAATCGTGATTCTATCGTCGAACGGAAAACGACGTCACGTTTGCCTTCGCGGCGAACGGCTTTCCGTTCCAGATTAATGGACCAATTTGCCGAGGGTGCCGAGCAAATCTCACTAATCATTAGTGATGACAACTAATCGGGCCGGTATTCTAATATTTACGCAGCGGATGACAGTCCCTGGACACGTTGATCGCGTCCCGATTAATGGATACTCATAACGGGGAATGGTAACGAGCTGTTTAATTAGCGGTACCCAACACCGGCCCAGCACCACCATCTGTTTACGCTCTGAAATTACACCTTGAGCCGTGGACCCTCTAACAAAACGTCACCGGTTCCCGAAACTATGTGCCATGGCTGACTGTGCTGTGGTTCTGTCCTGGCTACTGTTCGGCTATTTCGATGATCAAACAGCAAGTCGAACGATAACGACCGAGTAACACTCGGTAAACGGCCATTGAAGCAACCGTTCAGAACTACCTTACTCTCCTCTACCATTTGTATGATTCGCTTCAACCCTATTACTCAGATGCTCAGACTTCAGGCATTCGAGTCCGTCTGTTCAGAAAATAGTTTCGAAAATTATTTTTAAATGAAACCTATACACAAATACATACAAATACACACAAATTGCTTGTTTTAAGATCTTTTAAAATCAAGAACTTTATCGTGGTGTGTACAGTTACCTGCACATACATTTATCTGTATGCAGACACATACGAACATACCTACACAAATTGCTTGCTTTAATTTTTCTGTAGTAACGAGAACCTGATGAGCAGACCTATGAATCATAATTTGAATGATGGATCTGGCGAGTATGAAAATCCGCGTAAAGGTGGGAATAGAGAATCCGTAATTGCACAGAAAACCGCATACCTCGCCGTTTTCAAAGACCTTGAAATATCAGGGTGAACATTCTAAATTATTTTTTTTATACATCAATAAGGTGTGCCCTTTTCTATTTAATTATCTACTGCAACAAATTGTTGACACCGCCGAGCTATATGGCCATTTCTATCTGGATGGCAACGTGTTAGCTCAGTGATTGCCACGGTGGTCAGCAGTGACCAGTCCCGCAAATTGAACGCTTTGACGATCGCATATTTTGTGGAATCTATGACTCTTTCAATTTTATGTACCCTGTTACACCTAACAGGAGGTTATTAATACAATTATGTTTCAAAGTTCCGTTTAATGTACGCTAAAGTGGTAATATATTAATATTAATTGAGATAAAGGAAATAGATAGAAAATCGAATTAAAATTATATTTCCAGGTCAAGAGTACAACTTCAACAAATTGACAGAGGAGGAAGTCAATTCGCTCGGTTTGCCTTATGACTATGATTCGATCATGCACTATGCGAAGAATACGTTCTCAAGGGGTACATATCTGGACACAATTCTTCCGATGGAAAGTCACGGAAAGAAACGTCCCGAGATTGGTCAAAGACTTCGGTTGAGCGAGGGTGATATCGCTCAAACGAACCTTCTCTACAAATGTCACAGTAGGTATTCTTAAAAAATATCAGAAATTCATCGACCATCGTATCTTATACGTTGGTTACATACATTTACGGGAGTAGCTGAACGTAACCGAGTATGCAAGAAATATGCTAAAATTATGCAACGTGTGTATTACATGCATATTACATATTCGTATACGTTTATAAAATGCGGGGTAACATAAAAGTCACAAAGGGGTTTAGAAAGTTAATAACTATTTTAAATTTTCTCTCTGTTTTTCTTTTTTGAATTTGCAAAGCGTATACCAGAGATTTATTATAGAAGGTTACACGGTTTTATGTGGCGAACCAACATCGTAGAATTTTATTTGGAACATTATCAGTAATGCAGATTCAACGAGCTTATCGCCCTTATTTTCATATGCGAAATCCTCCCTTTTGGTGGCGGCTTCTGAAGCTTCACTTTGCAAGCTTGAAAATGGCGGTTACTTACGCGACACAGACCTTTACACATAGTTCAAAAAATCTCCATAAATCATATCATGAATAGGAAAATATTAAAGCTTACAAAATAAGTTAAATCCTTTCGTGACTTACGCCGCCACATTTTTAGTATATTTTACTCGCATACACGTCCGCGATCTACGTATCACAGACCACGTACAAGTTTCAAACAAATGGAAATTACATTCGAAACTTTTCGATAAGCCTCAATTTTAACCGCGTTCCTTTTTCTTTTCTCTCTAACAACACGGTTGTTCTTTTCCCTAACACAGGATGTGGCAGAACATTTCAAGAAAACAGCGGAAGTTTCGGATCCCCGATTCATCCTAACGGATCACCTCCGATAGAAGGTGAACGATGCGAATGGAGGATTACAGCGACCCATGGAGAACGAATAGTCCTTAACATTACATCGTTGAACATACTTAAGAGCAATCTTTGTCGCAGCGACTATCTCGAGATTAGAGACGGGTACTGGCATAAGAGTAAAGTGTTAGGTAAGGTTAACAGTCGAAAACCTAAGTTGAAATTTACACTTATCCCTGGTAGTATCATGCTACAAGTATCCTGTTCTCTATAGTCAAGAAAATGTTCAATTCCTTCTTACAGTTTTCATAGAAAATTCAATTTAAACTACATACAAGGTCTACTTAATGACATGGAAAGTCATGAATTCATTTTATACTCCATGTTTTCATTTAACTTGGAATATTCACTCGCATCAAATAAATTTGACTCTACGTATAAAATTCACATTTAATATAACGTATTAATTGAATCATAAACATTTCTGTATGATAGCGTAAATAATATAATAATTTAAATGATAAATATGTTTTATACTTGCGAAATATTTTATGCATGTTACTTGCTATTTAGTAATCGTGAATATGAGAATTTAATTGTATTTATTTTATCAAACGCGGTGCGATAATTAATGACCTTCTGATGATAGGTGTCCTAACAAAGAGGACGATAATCAGCTTTCACGCTGGGTAACAATTTACAGGAGGATTTACTTTGTTTATACGATCCTTTATGGATCCGCGTGCAATTAGTATAAATATTATATTTTACTGGATTTAACACGGTGCAGCATTTCGTGCGACGCGTCGAATGCCACTGTGAATACAGCTATGCTTAATATGCAGTTATTATAGTTAGAATTATCGGGGACACGAATGTTCAACACGTTCGCTAGCATTTAGTTGGAAATTCATTTATACTAGAACGCATTTCTGTTTTACGCATTGTACTTTTCACCTTTTTGATCCTTAAAATTCCTGTTTTTCATCCCCCATTTTTATGTCTACATTTTCATCGCTCTCGCATGGTATTGTCTCTGTATGTGTTACGTATGCGTTTATCTCATATTTTCTAACGAATGAATATATTTTACACTTTGTTCAAAGATATTTTATATGGAGCACTGATTTCAATTTTGAGAGTGATTCAAAAGTCGTAATTGTAATTCTACAATTTTATCTACAATGTAATTTAAGTACTCTTCTAAAAATTTCTTTATTTACCATTGCTAGTGGAACAAAAAGTTTCGAACGCAACACCTAGATGTCGCAATAAGGACTGAGAACGACTAGAAAATAAATATCGAATATAATTCGAGTGCACGAGTTGAAAAAATCCTATAATCTTGCTATTTTTATTCAACACATCAACTCGATTTTTCTATCAATCAAACTGAGTAATGATTTATTTGACAGGTCGTTACTGCGGCAATGGAAAGATCCAGGATCCGATCGTATCGACAGGAAGTAGAATGCTGGTTACGTACGTGACATCCGGTCATCAGAGCAACGGCCCTCGTGGCTTCACGGCATCATACGAAGCCGTTTGCGGCGGCGAGATCGAACTTGACGACACGGGTCACTTGGAATCACCCAACTACCCGGAAGGTTATCAATCCAGCAAGGAATGTGTGTGGAAGTTGTCGGTACCGCAGAACTTTCAAGTGGCGTTAAAGTTTCAATCCTTTGAGATCGAGAACCACGACAATTGCGTGTACGACTATGTGGAGATCCGTGATGGTCATAACGCGGACTCTCCATTGATCGGGGTTTATTGCGGCTACAAAATACCACCGGACATTAAGTCCACCGGTAACAAACTTCTAGTGAAGTTTGTTAGCGACGGATCAGTACAGAAGGCTGGATTTTCGGCTACGTTTATGAAAGGTGCGATTAGCAATTTGCAGCCGACAATTTTAACACTTTGACACGAACTAAATCGTTAAAAATTCCGGCGGGAAAATATTTTGTTCTTGAATAATGAAGTTTTTAGATATGAAGAAGGGGGAAATTTTCAGAGTTACGCGAAGTAAACTTTTTATTATTCAAGCAACAAACTTTACGGACAGACTTCGCTTCGAATATATTTGATCAAAAATTCTACGTTTTTCTTCGTTATGGGTCTTCAAATGCTTAAATGTTTATGGACATTAAATTTTCTTGAGAAGTCCGTTTATTGACTATTCTTTTTATGGATAAATCCGATGTTCTTCCGTGAAACATTTTTTTACTTTTTCTGCATTGCGTCTGCTTCTTCCTTTTGATATACATACAGTTTGATTGCCTTTTCTCTGAAATATGGTAATCAAATTTTAATTTCTGTTTAGAACGAATTGTGATCACTTTTAATCTAGACCTTTCATATTGTCAGAAATGGAATATGTGATATGCCAATAAAATTTAAAATTCTATTTAGAACGAATTGTGATCACTTTTTGACCCTTCATTTTGTGAAATCCGGAATATCTCGGATTCTATGAAATATGTGACCGTCAAAGTGTTAATAAGAGCTTTAAAAGGATAAGTTTGAACAATACGAACAATCTCACGATACAATACGAACAGTTTCACGAGTTCAAACAATGTTTCAGAGTTCGACGAATGTGTTCTAATCGAGCACGGTTGCGAACACAATTGTATAAACACTCTGGGTGGATTCGAATGTTCCTGCAATCCTGGCTATGAATTACATTCCGACGGAAAGCACTGCGAAGGTAAATAACTCTTGAGTAAATACTTTCTTTTGAAATCCGATTTCATTAATATTTACATATTTTCATTTAATATTTAAATGAGATAATTCATTATACAAAATGTTCAGATGCCTGCGGTGGAGTATTCGAGGACAGCAACGGAACTATTACGAGTCCTTCGTTTCCTGTAACGTATCCAGGAAACAAGGACTGTGTCTGGGAGATCATAGCTCCTCCTCAATATCGTATCACGTTGAATTTCACTCATTTCGATTTGGAAGGCAACAATGCTCGCCAACAAGAGTGCGAATACGATTCTGTAGAAGTGAGCAGCAAACTCGGGGATGACATTTTAAGGAAACACGGAATCTTCTGTGGATCGAGGCCGCCGCCATTAATTACGTCAGAGGGAAACTTTATGAAAGTGACGTTTACGTCTGATAATAGGTACAACTTTGAATTTAACAAGAGGGTAGTTCAGTGACGAGAAGACCGAGTCCCTTTGATAGAACCTTGTTCTCTGTTAACAAGTACAAGCATTTTTTGCTCCTATATCCGTTTGTGACAAAATGAGTCTACTGTGATAATCGACTGTAAACTTCATCCTTGACTATTCTGGTAATGAGAGAGATTGATACTTGCTTACATCAAACTATTGAATAAGATACACCGATTCAAGGGCTATTTAGTTCATTGTCATTCGACTATACCCTTTTAAATACTTCTAATCGTACTAACCCATTTTCTCTTTACTTACTTTTTCACCTCCCTATTATTACAGTATTCAAAAAACAGGATTCGCGGCAGTCTTCTTAACAGACATGGACGAGTGTGCCAACAACAATGGTGGATGCCAACACGAATGCAGAAACACGATAGGTTCATATCAGTGTTCGTGTCACAATGGCTTCACGCTCCACGAAAATGGCCACGACTGTAAAGAAGGTGGTTGCAAGTACGAGATCGTTGCACCCGTTGGTACCATAACGTCGCCAAATTATCCGGACTATTATCCTGGACTCAAAGACTGCGTTTGGCATTTTGTTACCAAACCTGGACATCGCATCAAGTTGGTCAGTTCTTAAGGACGTTATTATTTAATCTAGTCTATTTGTCATTGTTAAAAAACGATATTTACATTCTGCATTTTGCAGATTTTTAAAGTGTTCGAAATGGAATCTCATCAAGAATGTAATTACGATCACATTGCAATTTATGATGGCGACTCGCCGGATAGTCACGTTCTTGGTAAATTCTGCGGTACCAAAGAACCACATCCAATCTTGGCTACCGGAAATCAAATGTACATGGTATTTAAAAGCGATGCTTCTATTCAGAGGAAAGGCTTCCTGGCCACTCATAGCACTGGTAAGATACTCAACTATTTTCTATACTATAGTTACATAAATAAACTTATCCTTCATAAAGATACAATGTTAATAAATCAATGTTTCACCATCTTGTCATTTATGAAGACGTCAGAGTATCAATATACATATTAAGAATATTTCAGTTACTATATTCAATCATCTACATGATATTGTAAATATTTCAGTATTGTCAGTAAATATTTAGATTGCCGAAATAGTGATATTTGTCAGTGGTTCAAAATCTTTGATACGTAATGTTATGCTTAGTACTAAAAATATTATGTTTCGTTTTATTGACCGAGTTTTATTTTGCAGCTTGCGGAGGTCATCTCGTTGCAACAAGCGAAGTGAAGCACTTGTACTCGCATGCCAAATATGGTACTCATAATTACGACCACAGAACGGACTGTGATTGGGCCATTGAGGCTCCACCTGGCAAAAATGTTCATTTAACTTTTGTCACGTTCCAACTTGAATCCGAAAACGAATGCAATTACGATTTCGTCGAGGTTTATTCCGGTTTGGATACGTCCGGTCTTCTTTACGGACGATACTGTGGAAATAGCGTATGTATAACTTTACTCTGCATTTCACTTTTTAAACCGCAAAGAGGTTACTCTGTTTATAAATCGTCATTGTGATTGTGATTAGAATGTAGGAAAAAATAAGACTCTAGCCAAACTTGATACTCAAGACTCTGATGTAAGAGTCTTTAAATGAATTTCATAATTTCAACTCGTCAATAGCTTTGATCATTCTGGAGTAAATATTTTTGAATGCAAATAAATGTAGAAGAAACTGTTACATCTGTGTTTATTGATCTATATCGATCGAATGGTATAATCTCGAATTAATTGCATTCCAGAACACCACCGACTTCATCTCGATCAACGAGGCGTTACTAGTCCGGTTCCGAACCGACGACACGATATCGAACAAAGGTTTCATGGCGTTTTTCGTCGCGGTCGATCGACAAGACAGCGGTGAGAACTACGGTGGTTCAGAAGACGAAGACGCCGACGAAGAGAATCTCTGATCCGTGTCAGGCCTCGCCAATCGAGTGGGCTACGGGTACCATATCGGTACACTCTTGCAAAACAACGCTCGAAGTGAAAACGAATAAAGTCTGATGATCGCTCAGAGTCGAACGTGTGTGCCGTTTCATCGACTATGTAGCCCAGACACACGTGAATCTTGCTCGATCGTCGAGGCCGTGAAGCATTTGTTCTTTTCTCTAAGTACGTTCGAACGAATTGAACAAATCGATCGCAAATCGATCAATGTTTGAACTATTACTTATGTGATCGATGTTTAATCAAAGAAAGGTATTTTATGAGGTTAGTGGACAAGGATAATTTATTCCATCAGTGAAGCGTTAATTAACGGCTTAATCATTTGGATTTAGCATGTACCATTCTGAAATTCGGCCTATACGGGCCAATCGTGCCATTCTATGTTTAGATAGATCGCATTATTATATATTATCATTATAAATTACATGCCCTGCGGGAATTGGCGTAATTGGACTCGGACGAGGGTGGGTTTGACACATATATGAATGGGCTTAATTTTCTAATTTTCTAAGCTTCAAATTTCCAAATCCTTGAATTTTTAAATTCCCAAATTTTTTGAAGATCTACTAAGACCTAGATCTACTAATTTTCCAAATTTTCAAATCTCCAAATTTCTAATTTTGCGAATTTCTAAACCCCCCAATTATGAAACCCAAATCTACTAATTTTCAAATTTCGACTTCCTAGTTTCCAAATTCCTAAATCTCCAAATCTCTAAACTTGCAAATCTCTACATTCTCTAATTCCTAAATTCCCAAATTCCCCAAATTCTCAAGTTTCCAAATTTTCAAATCCCCAAACTCCCAAATTTCTCACAATTTCAAATTCCGTAACAAAAATGTTCAAACTTGCAAATTCCAAATTTTCCAAACCCAGCTGATCATGCAATTGACACTTAGTGAAACTAGATGACTTGGTCCACCCCCAGTAGGAATGCTAATTACGTCAATGCCAGCGAGAAAGAAAAAGATAAATACGACTTGGTGTTGCCAAAGTAATATTCTATGTTTAATCAACGAGTATGAGAAGTCAACGAGGAACGAGAAATGTCCTTATTCGGTTGACGTTGTTCTTTCAAACACTGCCCCGAACCAAGCAATTCGATCATGTTCGAAACAAGGAAAAAGAAAAGTCACATCTCCTCGAGTGTGCTTTCCGAAATCATTTGTTCGTTTGTATTTTTTTCTCGACAACAGTGTTGCACCATTCAAGAATGTCATCGGAACGTTTTCGTGTAAATGGCTCTAAATATCGACAAGAAAACCACGGCAAACGTAAACGTATTTTAATTCGAACGAGGTACGTTGCCAGACTTTTTCGCTCAGATATGTTCGATGGAAATGTTCCAAGCGACAGTTCGTGCAAAATACTCGAATAATCTAGACATAAATTTAGATATAGCGCTGTTTCGGAAGTCAGCGACTTAGAAATTTAAAGGAGGACCTCGAACCGGCAAGTTTCGAACGAAACATCCTCGAGGTTCTTCCTCTCGAACACGTTTATTGTAAATAGAGAAAAAGAAATTTAGATGTAGACGTCGTGCCGTTTTATATAATATAGTCATAGGATCCATCGTCGATCAGGCGTCTTGCTATCGAGTGGATTTACAGATTTCCAACGACGGTTTTCAATCCTGTACTTTCCTTTGTGTTTATCGAAATGTTACTACAAAGTACTTTTCCGCAGAATAAACTTATTGCAATCGGATAATTTGGCGCAGTGATGGGCAACCGTACTCAAGAAAACGTGCAATCGCAAGCTTTCATGAATAATCTGAAGTCTCAAAATTACATTTTTATATTTAAAAGTTTTCAAATTTCTACATGTCTGGATTTTTAAATATTTATATTTCTAAATTTCCAAATTACTAAATATTTAAACTAGAAAACTTGAAATCTCAGGAATGAGAACTATATCGTTCTCTGTGTATCTCACCTCGTACACTGCTCGTCATTGCCCGGAAGTTCTTGGGCATTTGATCTGCCCATCACTGATCTAGCAGATTGTATCGATTAGATAGTGAATCATCGATATTCTACTGTATACTTCGAGAAACTACGTTTAAAGCAACTAGAAGATTCAATGATTTTGTCGTAGCTTAACATTACGAATCAAATAACGAAAATCGAATTAACACCTTGCTAAAAAGAATGCGTAAAATGGTGTACGTATAATTTGAAAAACGGATCGAGCTACGAAACAAGAAAGAAGTCTATTGGTAAAATTTCATTCGAACAAAGTTTCTTTGTAATTTTTGTACGTAACGCACTGCCTCGTGTACGCCATTTTCGTAATGGTATACCAAAGTTACACGGAAAACAAACTAATTATCGTTTGTTACTCTGTAACACGAATACATGGCCTATATCGATTAAAAGGAACACGAGCAAAGGAAAGAAACGTGCAGAAATGTGTATACACTCGCGGACAAGTTATGCGTATAATGTTGATCCTTCGAAAATTCGTACGCCTAAGATACACGTATAGTTGATAATAATAACAATGATAATACTTTATCTATTATCTGACGATAATAAACAATATTAAGCGCCGCGTCAAGTTCCTTTTTGTAAATTATATGTGATTTATTTGTTCTCAGAAATACACGTTATAGGCACTCTATATATATTACTGAGCAACTATATACAACTAATACACGAGTCTCTTCTATTAAACAATATTCCTCATACCCATTGGCGTAACTAGAATTTTTATCCGTGAATAAGCCTGGTACTCTACCTTTTTCGAACTCTAACTTTTCGATCTCTAATTTTTCGAACTGACAAACTTAATCATTTTAATATTGATGTGAAGATGTCGAATTTGCATTTTAAAAAAATTAATTTACATTAAGGATCAATTCCTATTTTGAGGAATTTGATCGAATCTTACAAAAACAATTCGTATTGTTAGGCAATTTCAGATTTCGAGGACCAGTTCACATTTTAGAGCGAGAAGGGGAAATTTGCATTGGAGGTCACATCCCCACCTTCTAGTTACGCCACTGTCTTACCTGAAATTACCATTGGTTAAAAAGCTATAAGAGTATGGATAAAAAATATGGAACTAAATGTACATCCTACGCATTCTGGAAATAAGTATGATCGATTCTACCGTGATGTAGTTTACTACAATGTAGTGTTCGAAATAGTGAGCTGATGTCATTTTAACGATCAGTGATTACCAAAGGTAATAAGTTCAAGATCAATCGCTCGTATGGTATGATGGATTGAAACTTGATTCTGCAGGTAAGTGCTCAATACGATTATCACATAAATAATCTTGAACATTGAAATCATTACTAATCACTATTAATAATTTCTAAAGAAAAATTTGTTTGATCGCATGATTCATGAGGATAAATATATCGATTGAACCGGGAGATATTAATCATAAGAATTCGATAAGCGGGAAATAAAAAATTAAGTCTATAAAAGTTGATGCGTTACGAAGGAAGACTGCAATTCTATCTAACTATATTTGGTGAATGAGATCGCTACAAATGCAAGGACAATAAAATGCGTGGTCGCTCTGTTACATCATCCAGCAGGATTGTATCGATATAACGATTATGTTAATATCTACGGTCAGCTTCTACGATCGTACCTGGGTTCTACAGAGTTATCTCTGCAAAGTATTCAAAACAACATGACTAAAACCGAATGCAATTTATCTTTCAAAGAGGGCACCGACGTGAGTCAAATTTTCAATGACGGTAGCCGGAGAAAGTCACGTTACGTCATTCTTATCTCAGATCAATGATATAACGCTTTACGCGTAAGAAACAAAGTCAAAACATGACTTTATAAACTTGACAATGAGGAACCGAAAAGTAATTCATACATGCTATATTTGATAGAACATTTGGAATTGCTTATACATATTTTTATTTACAATAGTACATTTTTAGTGAAATATAAATATTAGCAGTGAAATTTAAAATACATTAACATTTTTTAACTTGTGTCATTTAATTCCTGACAATTTATAAGTTAGACACTGATCTTTTTTGAATAAAGTAGAAAGAAGTTCTTGAAGGGACTCTCTCCAGAGACTACGCAATTGAGTTTTACATGCATATTGTACAGATGTGTTCTCTCCAACGGCAATAGTCCCTGCCCCACCTTGCAAGTCTTCCCAGCGGATCGTCGCGATTTACCGCTTTCCTTAGTCGGGAACCGACCGTCTGTGACCAATTTTAGAAAAAGTGAGCGGCCGCGTCGCACATGCGCTCTCTCACGACGACTCTCATCCTTCCTTGGCACCTCTGCACGTCGAGAACGACCGAATCATTCAACTGAACGAAAAAGGAACATCTATTCAACCATAAACCAATTCGGGATTGTTTTACCAGAAAGTATCAGCTGCATTTCTTCTTTCCTGCAATAAACAATGTATTTTCTATAAGTTACAATATTACCTCATTTAACTACTTAAATAATAACTTTAAAATAATATCAGTATTTCACACAACCATCCTTTATTATTTTACTTTTCTTATCTTCTTTCCTGCAATAAACAATGTATTTTCTATAAGTTACAATGTTACCTCATTTAACTACTTAAACAATAACTTTAAAATAATATCAGTATTACACACAACTATATTTTCTTTATTATTTTACTTACACAACTTCCAATTTATAAAATCTTCAGATATAGGGATTTATAAATTCTCAAACTTTGGTCGTATTGATGAATTCCTGAATATTATTTAATATCAATTTCTTTGCAAGACAAACATGCGTCATTGGTTACACTGGGTACACAGCATAGGACACACACGATGCGTCCTTGGTTGCATTCGTGCACGCACAGTGTACATTGCACTCGGTCTTGCAACATTTCAATGTCTCCGCCATTTTGGGAGTTTCTGGAAGCTTAACCGAGCTAGCTTTAAACTCGGTAGTTTCTTAGAAAGAGATAAAAATGTCTAATCGATGTTGAATGATAAATGTTACATACGTCTTTTCATTCACAAGATAATTTTCGACAAATTAAAGACTTGCAAATGCAACAGGATTATAAATTAATCGTCTCTTCTATCTCGGTTTTATCAGAATTTACTGATAGAAAACCATAATCCGGTTTTATAGTGAATACGCGTATGTTGAATATTTAAAATAGTCAAGTTTGCAGTTTGTTGCAACTGTTATATACATGCAAATTTCAAATAGAAATTCACCGACGTAAAGTCTATTCTTAACCAATGGGCAAGTTCAACGCCCATAACCAACCGCGGTAGTTTTGCAACTAAGAATAAATGTCGCGTTGTTTTGCATTTCTCTACCGCTCCCTTTTCTTTACGACATACAGAAAATTTTGAATAAATTCCTAGATACCTACCGTGCGTGAGAATCTAAAGAACAATCTAAAGAATGTAAAGAAAGAAAATACGGAAAATAATGTGTAACACTCACGTCAGGAGAAACATTATCACTTTACAATCGTGTGCAGCTTTCTCTCGAATATCTTTTTACATGTGCGACAAGAAACTCTGATGATCTCCTTACAATGGAACATTTTGCGAAAAATCACGTACGGTTTCCTGTAGCTAGAATATGAAGAATACTTTAACTTTAACATCGTAATTGAAATTGATGAAATATAACACGTAAAACCAGTTATAATAATCAACGATGTGACTAAATTATGCATTCGTGTAATTAACGGAATGAACGCGTCAAGCAACGTCAGCTATAACCTACTTAACGCAAAATAATTATTATGTCGGTTTCTACCATCAACGAATGCAAACATAGTTTAAATGTACCGAAACTGATTTCTAAAGTGTTTAAAATAATTATCGAATATGCAGATTCCGTTGCACGATAATTTGTATTTAAATAATTGAATGTGTTTATTGAAATGCGAATAAATTTATTGCGACGATCGCGCACTTTAATACAAATTATGTATCGAAAATCAATAATGATAGAGTCAATGAACAGGTCGTTACATACCAATTTTCTTGCTACACCCGACGAAATTTGTAAAATCAATAAAATAAATGTCGCATGACAGGAACATGGTACTATATTTTACTAGTAAGAAACATGCGCGAACTCGGTACGGCGTTCTGCGGTCGTTCGTCGACCAATCAGAACAGAGAGTGAGATCATCGCCGACCAATCATCAAGCGCCAATACAGTCGATAGTCAGGGGTATAAGACCCCGCGGACAGCGTCACTCGCGCATTAATCGCTTGGTGTTCAACCGTGCATCGTGTGTGGTTGATAGCAGAAGCTCCATTACTTGCTCCAACTATCGACTACTCATTTTTTACAAGAGCGTAAAACACTTTTCTAGACTTCAAAATGGTAAGTAAATAATCTTTCACTGTTTCTATACATAAACCAGGTCGTATCGTTCAGTTTGCTGTGCTGATGAAGAAACGCGACTGGCGTAAAGACGCTTGCACCGGCCGGCTCCGCCCTTTCCGTTATGACTCACTTTTTAGCGTCTAGATACCGTTAAAATGATCGAAGCGTTTACTTATTAAACATAATCTTTGTACTTATCCTTTTCTTTGAGAAATTCATTATAAAAAATATTTTGAGGCTTGAACGCAGAAATTTGATATTTCTTTGTTTCGCGTCCATTGTACAATGGAGGGAAATGCGCGTCGTTTTTGTGACGCGATCGATACTAGAAATAAATTGTTTTAATTTCTGTCAAATATGTCATGAAAATAATCAGCAGTCTACGGATATTGAGTTATTTAAAATACATTGAAATCTGTAAATATTTTACATATATAAATATATATTTAAATATAATATATGCGCAAACTATTAAAAATATTCTATAATAATCGATCATTTATTATTTAATAATTCATCGGCTATTATTAATTTATGAATTAATTGTACTTGTGATATGATGTTATCTCTTTTTAACTTTGTCCATTTTGTCCATTTTTTAAAACATTAATAAGATTGAATATTAAACACATGTACTTTCTTTCAAGATTATTATTCTGTTGCTATGAACTTTAGTCTTGAACTATAAATGCATATTGTAATATTATCACACATTCATAAAGTTATTTTTTTGCAATTTGTTTAAAATGTTTTAAATATTTCCATTCACTTTTATCCATTTTATAGATTTGATAACTGTATAAAATACATATTATTGAAAACACCTTTAATGTACCATATATGTCATGACATTTTTTAATTTTTTATTTCAAATAATAAATTAATTGTTTTTATGTATATGTTTTCAGCGTGAATGTATCTCAATCCACGTTGGCCAGGCTGGAGTCCAAATTGGTAATGCCTGTTGGGAATTATATTGTCTGGAGCATGGCATTCAGCCTGATGGTCAGATGCCATCAGACAAAACTATTGGAGGAGGTGATGACAGTTTCAACACTTTCTTTAGTGAAACAGGTGCCGGAAAACATGTTCCCAGAGCTGTTTTCATCGACTTAGAGCCAACAGTAGTCGGTATGTAATAATGTTAGACATGTATATTGCATTAGTTTATATTTTATTACTAAATTATTTATTGCATACTTTTTCTGTTTAGACGAGGTTCGCACAGGCACTTACCGTCAACTCTTCCATCCAGAACAGTTGATCACAGGCAAAGAAGATGCTGCAAATAATTATGCTCGCGGTCATTACACGATCGGCAAAGAGATTGTTGATCTCGTATTGGACCGTATTCGCAAACTCGCAGACCAATGTACCGGACTCCAAGGTTTTCTTATTTTCCACTCGTTTGGAGGTGGTACCGGCTCTGGCTTCACATCGCTGTTGATGGAACGTCTGTCCGTGGATTATGGAAAGAAGTCGAAATTGGAGTTCGCAATTTATCCAGCACCCCAAGTGTCTACTGCTGTGGTTGAACCCTACAATTCAATCCTGACCACTCACACCACTTTAGAACATTCCGATTGTGCATTTATGGTCGATAATGAGGCTATTTACGACATCTGCCGCCGTAACCTGGATATTGAGAGACCAACGTACACCAACTTGAATCGTCTGATTGGACAAATCGTTTCTTCCATTACTGCCTCGCTTCGATTCGATGGCGCTCTCAATGTCGACCTGACGGAATTCCAAACTAACTTAGTACCTTATCCCAGAATTCACTTCCCTCTGGTAACCTACGCGCCAGTCATTTCTGCAGAGAAGGCTTACCACGAACAGCTGTCGGTCGCAGAAATCACGAATGCCTGCTTTGAGCCAGCCAATCAGATGGTAAAATGTGACCCACGACATGGAAAGTACATGGCGTGCTGTATGTTGTACAGAGGAGACGTTGTACCTAAGGATGTTAATGCAGCCATCGCCACTATCAAGACAAAGCGTACCATCCAATTCGTAGATTGGTGTCCAACTGGGTTCAAAGTTGGTATTAACTATCAACCACCCACGGTTGTACCAGGTGGTGACCTCGCTAAAGTACAGCGAGCTGTCTGCATGTTGTCGAACACCACAGCTATCGCTGAAGCTTGGGCCCGTCTTGATCATAAATTTGACTTGATGTACGCCAAGAGAGCATTCGTTCACTGGTACGTCGGTGAGGGTATGGAGGAAGGTGAATTTTCTGAAGCACGTGAAGATCTTGCTGCTTTGGAGAAGGATTATGAAGAAGTTGGTATGGATTCTGCAGAAGGTGAGGCAGAAGGAGCCGAAGAATATTAAACTCATCATCAAGGTTTTTCAATGACGTCTTCATCAATGATGAATAAATAAAATAACAGAATTTGCAATTGTTAGTTTTGTTACATTATTCCTATCCTTTATATACCTTACTGAATAATTTATTTACTTGAAGTTAAATTTGATCATTTTTTAGAATGTTGGGATGGAACATAATTATTTTTTAGTAATTGCTTTGCTGATTAAAGTACTGCAGTATTAAAAGTGAATGATCATGTTAAATATTAATTTCTGTTAAAATCATTCACTCATTAAGTTCGAGTAAATGTGAAGATTTAATACGATAACGTTAAAGCATTATTCTAGATTTATAATATGTTACTTGCATTGAAATGTATATACATAAAGATTACATGACTACTGGATATCAGGAAATATAAGAACGCGGAAATTTGTGGTTTATAGACGTTATCAATACTCGTCAATCAACAAATACGTATCTAGGTGAAGTTTACATTAACGTTTCTATTTGGTTTACATATAATTTATAAAATCTTTGTAATGAAACTGGTACTTAAAATAAATAATTAGAATATTTTATTTTGTTGCAATTTTATTATTGAAAAGCACAAGAGGTATGTTTCATTTTTATTTTACCGTAATCTGGTGTCTATTAGCGTTACATTCTTTAGTTTCCTTTTTATCGTATTTGCACTTATTTTGATCTGTACAAATAGTTTGAATGCATCATCAAGAACAGTTCTCGATTGGAGCAAGTTTCAAAAATAACCGTACCCTTTTATACACTCCACGAACTATTTCTTCTAATAATTTACCACGGTTGTTTGCATTGTCTTTTTGTGAATACAAGAATATCTCTTCTAATTCCTATCTTAGTTTCGTATGCACCAGTTCATCTCGCTTTATTTCAATAACAAGAATAGATATCTTGCTAAGGGTGTGTTTAAATTAAGTGAGCGAATACGCATTCTTCCACCACTTCCGTTCAACGCTTGTTCGTCAGAATATTTCCAAACGCGAACGAATGCTCTAACAATAAGAATGCTCGTTCGCCGAATCAGTTCAGTGTAATTCAATTTGATATAATTTAATCCGACGTGATTATATTAATCTCAATTTAATTTATCGTACTGAGATATCGGTTTGATGTGACCGAACAGGTTATCAGATCATTATTCAGCCAAAACGAACATGAACGAATGCTCTTGCACCTTCTGCATATATGTTCTTGTACATTTAGTGCAAATGCCCCCTAAGTATCCGCCATGAATCGTAGCACCACATTTGCCATGAACACGCATGCGCAGTATGGCAGTGCACGTTGGTGCATATCGGTGTGCACAGTGGTGTGTAAGGCGGTATTTTGTTAGAAAAAAAAAATTGGCGGTCTCATTGGGTTAAAAATTGTGCAAATGTTATAAACAAGTAATTAATAGTGCGTCCAAATGAATGGACCATCTGTTCGGGACCACAACGAGTAATATGAGTGAGTGAATACAATATTAGTTAAAATTTTCAGTAACGTTTCCCTCGCGAAACAAAGTAAAAACCATCGCTCTTATATCGATATAATATAACATCGATGCATCGAAGTCAAATGACACTGTACAATGAACATTCAACACGAATCACTTAAAACATATTTGAATAAATGCCTCGAGACAGGTGTGTCGATGCCTTCTGTATATCGATATATTGTTTGCATACTGCTTGCATGGCAAGAAGCTGTGTGTCTTGGATGTATGCAGTGGAGTACAGCCCCTCCAACTCGAGTTCTTGTTGCAACGTTCTCCGGTTTCCTCATTCACGTTTTTTTCTCGCGTGCTGAATAATACATTTAGATTAAAATCATTTTAAAGAATGTTAACTTTATTTCATGACGATTTACGATAAGAATGAGTGAGTATTCCAGTGGGTGACGTGAACGTCCAAATGACTTCGTCAATTCTACCGTTCTTATCTTGTAACTTAAGCCGAAGCATAAATGAGACTTGTATTTCTGATAAAACGTGTACACTTTGATGCTCTACCTGTACGAAATGCATGCGTGTAGCGTGTGTCCAATACTAATAAAATTTGTTACCTACACGTGTGTTCCACCAGTGTGTTAGAAATAATTCACGTAAAACGGGCTTTGTATCGTGTTGCCTCTAATGCACTAAAATGCTTTTTTTTTTGACATAAGAATTTAAAGAATGGTGTGGAAAAGTTGATTTCATTAATATTTTCGATACTGCCCTAGATCTAAGGCACAGTATCCTATACGTGGCAAATTAATCATGTAAACAATATTTGATTGTTATGAAATGGAAGAAAGTTTTCTTACAAATAGTGAATGTAAGGTTAGATTCTTGTTTCATTTGTTGTTCTACTGTAAACTTAATGCAATTTAGAGCAACTACTTTCATTTTGAATTGTAAATAATAAAGGAGTGCATGCAAATGCTTCATGTGTTTTACATTATATTTATCAAATTTTTCTTGCAATTACATTGTGTTAAAATAAATGTTATTAATTATTGATGTTTGAAATATATTCTTGCCCTTAAATGTGTGCTTTATTTATTTAAAACATATTATACATTAGATTTTAGAATTATCTTGTGTTTTGGATCTTTGAAATTAAATATACATGATGTTAATAATCTTTTAATAGAGATCTTTTATAAACAAATATGTGTAATTTTTAAACCTTACGCATTATAATTGCTGTTATTATTTTTGTTTTTTTACGTATTACAGACCACTGCAAAGCCATGAAGATGAGCTTTTCTTTATCTTCGCTTCAACCGCTCAGCCATAGCTTGGAAAAGCATGGCAGTGCGGGTACAGCGATAGAAAGACCATACAACAGTCTCACAAAGAAACGGTTTGTTTATTATTTTTGTATTCCGCATAATTTAAATCAGTGCTATATATTTATATGTTTGTTGTTTATATTTTAATAAATGTAAACTTCCTTTTGCAATTATGGAAATAAGTATCTCTATACCTTTAATTTATATTTAGTTGAAAGCAGCTGAATGTATTTTACATATTAATTAATGTTATAGGAAAGATCCAAAGCAACTTTACTCTCAACGTTTATGGGCAAATCGTGAAGATTGTAAAGATGATTTCTGGGCAGCAATACGGTCTAATTATGATTATATTATGGATACTAACTTAATAGATAGTTGTAAGGTATGTAGTTTGCTATATTTTTAACAAGATTAGTTCAAAATTTATGTGGCATATGTTAATCTGCACTTTCTTTTAATTTCAATAGGAAGCTAATGGTGAATTAACTTGGGATGAGACTGATGTATCCACACAATCTTGGAGTCTTAAAGAAATAAGTAGTCAATTCTCAGAATTATATTCATGGTTAAGAGTTCTTCAAGAACTAATCTACTGTAAAGAAGAAAATTTGCTAGATAAAAGTCTGCGTGCGGTGTGTATATTTTTTTTTACTCAATAAGAAATCTTTTTTGTTTCAATCTAATGATTAATCATTTATCTTTTAGGCTCACATGGAGGAGCTGCGACGTAGGGCATATAGAAGAAAGTTATTCAATGAACAAGCTGGAAAATTAGTGTCACGTGCCCCTGCTTTGAAAGATGAAGTGGCGTGGCGTGTTGACCATTTAAATGCAAAATGGGAATTAGTTGAGCAAATTATGGCACCTGTTGAGAGGCCAATATCTAATCAACAAGATATGTCAGCAGGTAACTTGTTTGTATAAGAGCATAGGAGTTAACACAAAATGATGTTGTTAACAATGGAAAATGTTATAGATTTTGAACATGAAGTAAAGTGTTTGAGAAAATGGCTGCGTGAAATGGAGTCACGTCTTCAGCCTTTGAGTTTTCATGTAGATTGGACATTAGCAGAATTAGAGGAGAAAGCAGTGGAACATATGGTGAGTACAAAAACAGTAATTTCTTAATGGAAACTAAATAGCATCATTTAATATAAAATTATATCCTTATAATTGAATACAGTAATAAGTTTGATGACAATTTATCTTTTAAATATATATTAAAATGGCCGCTGATATTGTCAATTTTTATCTGCGCATATTATATGAAGATATTAAGATTAGCGTGCTGATATTTATTTTGTTAGTGCAGTAGTGTTTTTCGAGCATCAGTATTTCATATCTTTAGTAAAATATTATTGTTACAAGTTTAAATTAAGTACTGAATGATAATATATGTTGGTAAAAAATTGTGTGTAACCAGTATTCGTATCCGTTTTGAGATCATTATGAAAATGCAAGGTCACTTATGACACAGGTTCATAATTAAATTATGAGTATGATCAAATTTGAAAGACAAATAGTACAAGTAGAATACCGATCGAGTTTGGTCGACTTACTGGTTGAGTTGAAGTGTGACAATATCAGCCGACTAGTGCTGGCAAACAACTTTCGATCACGTTAGTATCTCTGTACATCACAAGATGGCGTTAGGGTTATTGTTTTTATAAATATATGTATGATCAAAAATTGAAAAATCTAAAAACAAGATTTTCGGCAGGTGGAATTAAATACTGCATAATAAATTATTATTATACGGTTTAAATAATTACAACATTTAAACTACGTGACATATCTTATGCGACAAACGTATCATTATTATTGAAAATTAGTATTATATAACAGACGTTTCATTCAGTTTTTATTGCTAATGAAAGGATATATTAGCGAATAGCAAAAAGCGTAATGAATACGATGTTCGATTTTTTTTCTGTTTTATGTCGAAGTAAAAGAGAGTAATTTAGAACGATTTCATTTCCCGGTGTAAGAGAAACGTGCAGTTTCTCATGGATTCCACGATAAGTAGTGAATCGAGGATAATTTGACGTTTAGTTGCATCTAATGTTTAATCGAGTCCCTCCTTAGTCGGAAATTAATAATTTCAATAATCAGTGTAATAAAAATATCTTTTCTCTTTTTAATTTGCTGTAAGTGCTTTTTATCTAGATCAGCGTAAAGTACAAAGGTGAAAATGAGCAAAATTATTTACCACTCTATTATATAAATATCGATTTCTTTCCTTACAAAAATACAGCGTTAAATATATTCTGATACAATATTAGATCTAATTTGTTTTCATAATACGGAAAAATCAAGTTATGATAATTTTTCTTTTCACCAGAATATTATCGCTTTTAATTACTTAATTAACATTAATATCATGTTAAATCACACTGAAATTCTGAGCACAGTTTCATTCTAAATTCAGACATCGATAAAATCGAACAGGAAGCGTCTAATTCGAATAACTTAAATTTAGCTCTTTACGTTGGTGCGAATAAATTTGTTTATGCCTTCGTCTGGTTCATTGCTCTCTTACAACACCCATATGGCACGCGTGTTTGTTTTAAGCAAAAATTCCCTTGCCAACCTGAGAACCGGCTAATTTTGTCGTTCCAATCAATGCTTTACTCTGATTCTACAAATCATTTTCGTCTCGCGTGTTTGAAAAACAATCCAGATTGAAACGTGCCTCAATGTTATCGACCAGAGTGCTCGTTGCACAATATTCTTTCCGTGGTGTTATACTGAGAGCCATTAACTCGATTCGAACAATGAAATCTGAATCAGTTTTGATGGATATATAAAGCTCGTTCGAAATATTTTTACTGAAAGTAAATTAACTGAGTGGTTGCCATTAGCACAAATATTTTCATTGTTTCAAATAAGAGTAACAGTTGTAAGATTTTTTCGATTATTCGAGATAGGCGCGTATCTTGACTAATGGCAATTCTATTACAAGTTCAATAAGGTTTTCGTCGAATTTCCATCGTAAACCAAGCGATAAAACGCGAAGAAAGGTAGAACAACCGAACGATTCATACATGACTTTCAATTCACCATTAGTTCCGGAGGATCTTATTCTCTAGCAGGTTCACGGTTAATTAATTTCAAGGAATACATTGTTCGACTGCGGTACCGTAAATGGCCACGATTTTTCGTTGCGTTATCACAGCATGCCAGTCAAAACGCATCGTACGTGCCATTCGTTAACAGATTATCTATCGTTCACCTAGCTATCGAATCCTGAGTGAAAGACAAAGCGATTAATTTATCATACATGCGGTTCTTCGATTCAATGGGGAATAAAATGAAAGTTGCTATTAAGGCCGCGTAAGCAGAACGGCAAAAGGAGAAAAGAGATCAACGACATGATAATGATGCGTGTACCGGTAACGAATGATAATTTATTTACCGTGTTTCGTGTATTTATTGCACGTCGTTGTGTGTCCCATCGCCGATGTTTGACAGAATTTTAGTAGACTAAGATTGATGACGATATTTACCTCGTTTAATGAAAATATCTCTGTCATTTGATATTTTGTTGCGTTAAGAGACGTTGATGCATTACGAGTTGACATTGTTTAGTGTTTGCATATGGTATGAATTTAATTGAAAATAAATGCATAGAATGGCGTATCGAGTTAAAGAGAAAGACATCATTAACAGAAATCTGCTGGAAGGTATTTATAGAAAAATTTGTGATTTATGGGAAACGGTATAAAATCATATTGCTAGGTAAACCGTTGAATATTTTATTAATAATTAATTTTTTATTTCAGTTTCACTAATCCTCACCTGTCATATAGTAATATAAACTATAAGTTTTCGATCCAATTCATAATAAAAACTTTATTATTATTTCAAATCAGAGTATATTTTAGTTTAATGGTAGACTCGACAGTTATGTTATTTTCTTTCTCGCTCGCGTGTTTGTATCGCAATTTCTAATCAATTCCTGGAACGAAATCGGAATGGGAAAAAAAGAGTAATTAATTGAAAGAAACGCTTGAGATTTCGATGTGCGTATACGTGTGTACACATCACTTGAAATAGTTCAAACGCTTCCGTACAAGTTAAGAACATCCGGAAATTGATATAGTTTCATCTACAACTGCGACTATGAGCGTTAATTCCGCGATTGTACGTTGAATATGCTTCTCATAAAATTTCACGCGAATAAATCTAATCGGATAATAATCGTAACACTTATGAACTGAATTTCACTGTTTCCGTAATTTATATACATTCAACAAATATTTCCGCTTCTCAATTGTGTTGATTAGCCCACGTTTGGACGGTTTGAAAGTTTAGGGGTTTATGGATTGGAGAATTTTGGAGAGTTGAAAATCTAGGAAGTTAGGAATTTGTGGAATAGGGAAATATATGGGGTTCAAAATTTGGGAACTGGGAAAGTTGAAAATTTAGGAGTTTAGGAATTGTAGAATAGGGAAATTTAAGGGGTGGAAAATTTGAGAATTTAGAAATTTGTAAACTAGGGAAATTTAAAGGGTCGAAAAGTTGGGATTTGGAAGAGTTGAAAATTGAGTAGTTTAGGAATTTGTGGAATAAGGAAATTTAAGGGGTTGAAAATTTAGAAATTTAGGAATTTGTGGATTAGGGAGATATATGGGGTTGAAAATTTGGGAATTTGAAAGTTAAGGAATTTTAAGGGGTTGAAAATTTTGGAATTTGGGGAGTTGAAAGTTTAGGAATTTGTGAATTAAAAAATTTTACTGTATTGAAAATTTGGGAATTTAGAAATCTGTAGATTGGTTAATATTAAGGGGGTGAAAATTTGAGAATTTTGGGGAGCTGAAAGTGTGGGAATTCGAGAAGTTGAAAATTTAGCAATTTGAACGATTTGGAAGTTCAAAAATTTGGGTTTGAAGAATTTTTAGAAGGTCGGAATTGGAGAATTTAGAAATTTGTATATTGGCGAATTTTAAGGACTGAAATTTGGCCACCTTAAACCTTGCAAACACGGAAATACAGATATTTGAAGAATTAGAGATTAAAAAGTCTGAAAATAATGAAACTCAAATTGAAATATTAGAAAGTTCAAAAATATCAAGAACTGTAAACTGTAAATAAAATTCTGTATACCTTATTATAAAATGTTCTTCCGCTCATGCGTTTTCTTTTCCTTCAATTTACGTCCATGCGAAAGGAAGGACTTCCGATTCCGCGCGTCCGCTCTCTGACCTCGCATAAAATGAAATTTTCCCGTGATCTCCTCACCTTTTCTCACCAGACATAAATTATACTTCATGCATCCTCTGCAAGAACCAATATTATTACATTACTATTTACACACGTTGCGTCGTTGAAAGGTTTATGTAACAGGTATCGAGGATTCTCGTTTTATCGCACATTTAAGATTAAAACGATGTGAAAGTGTCGTTATTATTATATACGTCCGAATCGGATGCGATAAATCGTTGAACTCATGGAACATGATTTTTTTCGTTAGAAGTTGCTTTCGAATCGACCATTCATCAAATTAATTTGTAAGCAATCGTGTTGCCGGTGTCTATCCGAGTTGTCCGTAAATCTGAAAATACATACATTAAAAGTGATTGGTGTTTTCATCGTTCGGATGTAACTTTCGTTTAATGTTTCTGTTCCTATAGTGAAAGTACCTTCGAGCGATACATTATAATTAGAATTATTAACGATGTGATTGCTTAGGATATCTATGGATTTAAATTAGATAACAAGACGTAAATTTTAGTTCAGTGTCAATTTATTTATGTCATGATTTTTACTATATACTTTTTAAATAACTATATGATGGAGGTACGTTTGGGGCTATATAATGGGGTTATATTTAGGGCTATAGGGTTGTAGGAGATGAAGAAATTATAGAATGATTGATACAATTTTTTCAATTTAAATATTTAAAATTTTCTGATTTGAAAATTTCAAAAGGTAGAAACTTGAAATCTGAGTTTCTTAATTTGGAATTTTTCAGCTTTTTAAATTTTTAATCTAAATAAAAAAATATCTAAATTACTTAAGCTGAAGATTTCTATATTTCCTAGTGTCCTAAATAAAAAATAGAAAATTTGGAAGTATGTAAATTTCTTGATTTGGGAATT